TCTGGCATTGAAGTGTGCAAGTCTTAAAGCTGTCAAGTTACAAGACCCTTGCACCCCTAACCCTTTAGAAAAAAAAACCAGGGATGTTCAAACTTCACAGCTTTAAGACTTTAAGGTTTAGTTAGGACTCTTAGAAGTGGGCAGTGCGATTGGTGAGCCAGCCAATCAGTGAGCAGCGGGTGAGGCAAGCGTGGTACAGACCGGCGGGGGGAGGGAAGGAGCTGGAACCAGTTCTAAACGGCATGGTAGATTTGTGGAACCTCTTCTATAGAAGAGGTTAAAATTGGCAGGAACCCACCCCTGTGGTCTGCATATGACAAGAGTCCCCATGGCACTATTTTAATACTTTGGTGCACATGGCAGTTGTAATTTTGTTTCTTCTGCTGCTTTTTTGGGCTAAATGTGTACAGCTGCAACGACTGTGGTTTCACTTAGTCAGGAAACTTCCTGTTTATTAATGCATGGTCATTCTTCAGTATCAGTGAGATCTGATTTACCCTTCCAAAACTCTCTCATTCAGACATTTTCTTTGAGGACATGTGCCATTTACTGAACTAAAGGGCTCAACGAAAATAAAAGCATCTCAAAATACAATATGCTCTGGACGAGGCTGTTTATAGGGTTCTATCATTAATATGTTTTAATATACAATGAGATCTATATGCAAGAATTTGCCTGTTTGTTTGTAAGAAAGCCAATTTAGTTCTTCACACTTCACACCATGCTTCAGCAGTAAATCACTGCTCTTCAACCTTTTAATGTCTTATTCAGCACTTGGCAGAAGATGCTTAGATGTGACTCAGCTAAGGTAGAATTATTATTGCAGGCGAGGAGGTCTGAATACAACAGCTGACTATCCACCACAAAGTCAAGAAGTCAGAGCCTTCATAAATATATAATGCTCCAGAGTTTAAACTCTGAACTTTTTCTGGCTGCCCTTTGAAGCTAGGAGATATTTGATTGCTTTCTTGATACCCTTAGAAGGTCCCCGAGATATATTAATATCTAAAGGTCTCTTTAGCCTGGGAACTGCTGCTCTTCAGTCCTTACAGGTTCCTTACTGGCTTGATTCAAAACTTAATCTCTGTTTACGGTTTGAATCTCTGTTTACAGTGAAGTGGTGATTGTTGTGATAGGATAAAGCAAAGCTACAAATGCTTCATTTTGAAACAATGAACAAGGGAGTCCATCTACCATGAAGTTACTTCTGCTAGAGCAAAAAACCTATTTGTAATCCTCTTCCCTTATGCAGATAAAAAGTTCCACATATTTATATTTAGAAAGTGGTCTGAAAAAGGTGTTCATCAGGCCACTGCCAGAGTTATTTCCTAGGACTTTTGGGCTCTGTCATCCCTCAGAAAAGAGGAAAGAAGAGCAAATGACTTTCCAGTGTCGAGAAAGTGAGAAGTATTGATAACTCTGCATAGTAACCATGAGAAGGGCTTCTGAATATCTGCTCCATCTATCCTTCCCTGAATATCTGCAGTCCATGTACTGTATATTGAAATGTTTGTATTTATACTCAGGTAGGATGAGGGGGCGTGGGGTTGAGTGTGATTTGGATGGATGAGAAACCATACAGGCTTAAAGGTAGCCTGAAAGAGAAATGGATAACTTTGATAAGGGACCCTTGGGTGCTGCATTTGGTTGTGCAACTGTGAAAGAAGGATACAGAACGAAGGTTAGAAAAATAAGATTTTGGATTTGCATTTTGGATCTCAGATTTAACCTCCACCACCAAATAATAGCAAACAAATTATTTCTCTTTAGCCTAGAACAGTGGTTCCCAAACTTGGCAACTTTAAGACTTGTGGACTTCAATTCCCAGAATTCTCCAGCCAGCTCTTAATCAGTCGCAAGGCCTAGAAGGTCGTGCCACAAGGCAGAACGGCATAAAGAATGTGAAAATAACTTATAAAAGTTGAAAATTGTACTGTAGATTAAATGAGTACTTATGTATTCCTACATTTAGACCTGTTTTGTGTTTTATTAAGATCGGACTAATGATTTGTACAGTATTTTAATATTATTGGCTTTTTCACAAAAATGTGCCTTGTGATTGGCCTAATCACACAAGCACTTCGTGGTGTACTTAAATAAGAGATACACCCATTGTCTTTAAAAGGTAGAAAATAGTCCCAATACTGGCTTCCAGTAACTCAGAAGCAGATTTTTATCCCCCACAACCTTACCTGGTGTTGAAGGCTCCTAAAAGTGGATGGCATATTCTCTACTATGTCTGAAAATGACCAGCAACCATAAAATTAATGCTGTATACATTTTCAATGAAATTCCCAGAATTGATTCCTAGATCTTCAGCACAATCTCTTTCATTTTCACAAGAAAAGAGCACATATCACTTATTTTCAGTTTTTCCATTTTGGAAAAAAAATCTGGCTTTATTTGTAAATTCTACAAAATACAGAGGAGTCTGGCAGGACACACTGTAAGTCAGAAAATAAATAAGTACTTTTTTTCTTGCTCTATAGAAGATAAAATGTGATTTGCATATATAAAATATAAAGTACAGCTCTGTACCAACATCCCGGCCGTGCCACAAGGCAGAACGGCATAAAGAATGTGAAAATAACTTATATTCGTGCAATAAATAAATCACAGAGTAGGAACAAGGAAAAATAGGGTGAACAAGGGTAGAAACGTTAAAGAGGGAATCCCCACTAAGGATCAAAAGGTTGGAGAGGAAGGATGGACAACACTGGTTTGGAAGCTGATTCCATCTTAGGGGTAGAAGTCACGTTAAGCTGCAGGATGGGTAAACCCAACCATATGTCTTTTTAAAAAATGGATCATATTTGCCACTTAAATAAGTCACTGGCACATGCCTGGAAATGATTACCCACAAATACTCACTGGTTCTTATATTAGCAACATATATTTAATGGAAGAAGGTGCTTTCCTAAGTCTTCTAATCTAACCCTTCTCCATGCTTTCTCCAGAATTACTGTATCCATGTCTCCCAGGTGTATAAACCTCCCAGTTTCTTAAGCAATGGAACTGCCAGCGTCTCTTGATACAGATGTGCTATTCTCATATCATCCATGCTTGGTGTAAAATTTCATACTCACTTTAAAATGAGAAGGCAATGGGCTAAAACTGCTTGGCCAAAAAGGCATACAGATAGGCAGTATATCAATAGCTGATTCTACAAGTCCAGTGCTAATGATATTCTGTGTGTACATGCCGGCAGTTTGGTTTAAATGACATATGGGATTCATGACAGCATGGCAGAGAAAGGGAAACAATACACTGTTCATGTGTTTACTAAGTTAGGCTTTTGAATGGTATCAGTTTTCTCCATGTTTGTGTTGTCTGCAATACACATTTCCAGCCAATATGGCAGAATGCATCTGGAAAACCACTGGACGGTATAAAAGCTGCTATAATGAAAAGGGCAAGATTGTGATTGTAAACATTTTAAACAGTGTGGTTTTTACAGTAAATCCTACTAAGTGCATATGAGAATATTATCTTAAAAGAACAAGAGACAAACACAGTGGCATCCAGGAGAACCTAACTCTGCCATTGTGCTAGCTTAGACCACACTAGGTTTTATTTTCATGATAGAAATTATTTTTGGCTATGATTCAAGCTATTTTCCTGCTCTTGTGAAAAGGCATCCTTCAGATATAAAGAAGAAAAGCGTTTTGAATTTCAGCTGCGACACTTTCCTCAAGAGAAATGCATCTTCCATTTTACATAGCTGAATGGGGCAAAAATTAGGCCACAAAACAGAGGAACTATATTCCTCACCAATGTTTTTCAAACTGAAGCCTCCTTTCCTTGTTCTACGTAAGTGACTGGATCTTTCTCAACTTGCTTTTGGGGAGAAAAAAGAAACTGGAAGAGATGTGCTGGGTTACACCGCATCGCTATGATTAGGACTGATTCTGAACCTCTCAGAACCCCACACCCAATTGCCTGTACTGCTTCTTGGGTTGGGCCAACCTTCGTATAGCTTGGTTCTCTTGAACATATAATGTCTTAATCTCTGTAATAGTTGGGTATATTTCTTTCCTGAGTTTCTATTTCTAGTATTTTGCCAATGCAAAAACAGAAAGAAAATACAAAAGGGTCTCTTCATTACATTCTGTTGGTTGCTATTGGTACCCCTCATGGAACTCATTGTTTTAGACACCTCAGTGTCTTCTCTAGAACTTCACTTGTAATTCTGATGCCCCTTCACTATCCATCAGTCTCACTTGCTTTATCCACCCCTGCCTCATTTAATACACTCCCTCTTTACTTTTCCCACTTCCTTCTCTCTCTCTCTTTCTCCTTCTTTAGAAAACTGCTTCTATTTTGTCCATAAATCTTATAACTTCAGCAAAAGACCACTTCTACAATCAAAAGAGTATTTGGAGCACAGCTGCATCCACACACAGTTGCAGAGAGATTGTCTCTCCAATCACTGCAATGGGCATAATTCCTTTATTTCTTCCTAGGTTGGGTTAGCAGCAACTAGCTCTTTTTTGACCATGTCCCTTTTGTGATCTGTTTTTCCATCACCCTTGCAGTCACCAAGCAATAACACTTTTCTTGACCATTTTTAAATGTCTACTCATCAGAGGCTCAGACTGATTCTTGTAAAACAACAATTTCATGGTGAAGCAATCGAGAGGCTCTGAATTAAACAGTAGGTAAATGGGAACTATGGTTTACAACAAAAAGCAGACAGGGTTATACATGAATACCTAGACTTGTGTCTGAACAATGCACCAAGAAACTGGGAAATTGATATCCTCTGATAACATCTGGATTATTATAATCACTAGGTTTTAGACATTAAAAGGAGACTTCAATCTTGGCATCCCCTTTTTTTTCCCATCAGGTAGAAGCTATCTGCCTTTCTCTATAATTGCTGTCAAAACTTCTCTGAAGCAGCATTTCCAACTAAGATCTCATCTTCAAACCTCTCTGTTTTACATTTAATCAGTCGCAAGGTATGAAGCAGCAGAGAAGAAAACCTAACAAATATAAAATGGAAAAGAAAAATAACTGGCCACTGTAATCCAATTCACAAATAACTGACAGCTAAAATTACACACAAGTTGGGCACCACTTTCCCACAATCTTCCAATGAAGGCAAGGACTAAGGACAAAGTTCAACATTTAGCCATTTGGTCTTCAAGTCAACTGTGTCTCCTCCAGTGGCTGGAACAAAAGTGGGAGAAGGAAAGAGCCAGTGCAGCTACAGCCGCTTTAGGTAAGAGCTGTGCAGAGGCATGGCAACAGGACTTAGTTCATGGCTCGGCTTGTAGGCACTAGGAGTAGGTGGCCTGGTTGGAACCAGATTTGACAATGGTGATAACGCTGGCAGTTGCCACCTTTGCAGCAGTGCCATGAGCAGTGACTGTGCGGGCAAAGCCCTGCAGCGCTTCATACTTGCCACGCAGGGCGTCCAGCTCAAGGCGCATGGCAGCATTCTCACGCGCTAGCTTATCAACTTCCCTTTCTAGCTCTGTCTTTTGCTTCTGCAGCTCCTCCTTTTGACACACCCGCTTTACTCGGCAGCTGGCCGCATAGCCACGATTCTTCAGAGTGCGCCGACGTTGCTTCAATCTGGCTACCTCCTCCTTGGACAGGCCTCTCAGATGATGGTTAAGTTCCCGCACTGACAATCCCATAAGCTCCTCATCTGAAAGATGTGGTGTGTTCTCACCCATCTCCCGTTTGATCTGTTTAAGAAAAGGATCAAGTAGTTGAGAATCAGATGTACAAGTACGGGAAAAACAACAACAACAACAACAATAACAACTGGAAAGAGCAATGGGAGTCTAGAAGAATAAAACAACAACAGGGTAACAGTTTGTAGTAAAGTATGTAGGCATTGCTATTTATATATACTTGTATATATTTTCTGCAATGTTCTTTGGATTTGGGTTTTCCCCCTCCTACACTGTAATAATTATATTAAAAATTCCTCATAATAAAATTAATAGATTTTATTATAAGATTTTGAGATTTGAAAACTTGACTAAGATCTTTAAATCATTTAGCCAGAAATTGATGGCAATGAACTCAATGGAATTTACTTCTCAGTAGAGAAGTTGTGTACATAAATCAGTGTCAACTGAATCAATAAAAGTTACCCATCAACTAAATATGTAGGATCAAAGTATGACTAGCTCAGTCTGGATTTATTCCCATCACTTTATTTCTTTAAAGACTTCTTTAATCTTTCATTATATCAGTGTTATTATTTCACAGCAGCAGAAATTACAACCAAATATAAAATGTTGTATTTCTTTTATGCAATTCCCCCATAACTTCATTGTATTAATCCTTTGATCCAGTGCATCAATACAGAAACTGCTTTCTATATAAATTTCATTTTTTCCCTCTTATAAAACATTTTTGAAAGATGGAATGTTCTTTGGATTCAGAGGAAAAAATCTAGAGGAGCAACGCGAACATATCTAGTATTGGATCTCAAGTAGCTCTTTGGGAAAGAATTGCCACAATCCAGATATCATTGTGAAAGATACTCCATTTCTGGGATTAATAAATCTGATTCAGAGGGCATTCAAAAAGTAGGATCCAGGATGCAACTCTTAAAATTGGTTTGATACAATCCTTTATATCTGGGATCATAGACCATTTACAGTGCAATCCTATGTAGGACTGTGTAGAAACAGAAGAAAAAATCTGTTTCCAAACTCTCAATGGAGAAAGTAACTACATACATATGAGACGTTAGCTTTTGAGGACATCGAGATTATCATATAACCCTGACTAAGCATTGCTCAATGTTGGTGTAAGACACATGTGATATTTTCCTGCTGCAGTTCAGATGCTACTGGTTGCATTCCAGGTCAATTTCCAAACACTTCTTATGAATAGAATTTGCAATTTATCTGCCTTCAGGTGTTTCTAAGCAAAAGTTAGTGAATCAACACTTTATTGTCCTGACTGTTCCATCTTATAGGAACACAGCTGGAATACCCATTCCTATTCAAATTGTTTTGGAGCAATAAATAACTAGAAGAAAGTGGCCGAATAAACTAACCTAGTTTGAGTTTCCACACTTAGACTACATATTGTTTGAAACTATTTTATTTAATCAGTTGACAATTTCTAATAGTCTCAGGAAAACAAAGTCATGTAAACAATAGCTCAGTGTTCCTTTGCAGATCATGCATTGCTACTAGAAACAAAGTTATAACTGAATATTGTCATTATGATATTATCATAATTTCCTAATAAAAGACCTGCTTAGTTGCAGGTCTTTTAACAAAATTCACCAGCTTCCGGACAATAATTGTTGGCTCCCTAAAAAACCTTGGGGTGAGCACACCCCTGGATGTTTCCTACAAAATCTGTTCTAAATTAATGTGCGGGGTTTCCTCTTCTAGAACAGTGAAGCAGATAAATACAGTTCCCAAAATTACTGCCCTGGATTTTTGTTTTTAAAGAAACGTACTGCTAGAGGCTGACAATGAAGAATGCATTTCTTCACTCAAATATAAAGGAGGGGCTGGCTTCCCTTGGCAATTTCTGTGACTTCTCTGCAGGACACACCTCCACTAGTCCTTACTTTACCTGCATACAATAATGGGTTGCCTCTGTCCTCCAGGTTTGTGTTTAAAGAGCTGTGGTGGCGCAGTGGTTAGAATGCAGTACTGCAGGTTAAGTCACTGCTCACTCCAGGAATTCAATTCCGACCAGCTCAAGGTTGATTCAACCTTCTATCCTTCCGAGGTCAGTAAAATGAGGACCCAAATTGTTGTGGGCAATATACTGACTCCTGAAACCGCTTAGAGAGGGCTGTAAAGCACCTGAGGTGGTATAAAAGTCTAAGTGCTATTGCTATTAAACAAACAATGTGTCAATCTTAAAAATGGGCAGGCAATAGTTTCAATTTTTTGTTGTTTCCTTTCTTGGATACAAGCAGGGAAAATACTTATATGGAGAAGCAAGTGCCGTTCTTCAAATATTTCTGAGAAAATTAAAAGGGGCCCAGCTTGCCAAAATTTGTTTGTGTATGCGTATGTATGGCAAGAATTTATAGTTCACATTAACAAAGCCACATCAGTGCAATAACTCTCAGAGAGGAAAATTACATTAGGAAAGACAGAGAACATCCTTCCCTTTTTGGCTCAATGCTGCTAGACCCATTTGCAAATATGCGTCCATATGTGCTTCAGCAACTGTGTGGATTACAGACTGGCTATTCTTTAAAAAGAAGTCCTGTATCAGCTTATTTAAAATAATTTAATTCCATACAAATTTCCACCCACATGTTCACCATTTCTGAAAAGAGGGTGAGGCCAAAAGAGAAAGTGAACAACAACGAAAGCAGGAAGGAAAAAATGGAGAAATGGGGGGAAGAGAGAACAAGGAAGCAAGGGCACAAAGAAGAGGGAAAGTAAAAGGTGGGGCTAGAATAATTGCAAAGATCATCAAAGGAATGGAGATGTATACAAATTGTGCACAAATTCTGTAGAGCAAGGACCCCCAACTTTAAGACTTAGGACTTCCAACTCCCAAAACCCTGGGAGTTGAAGTTCACAAGTCTTAACGTCACCAGGTTTGAGGACTTCTGCTATAGAGTTTGTAAGGTTTACTTTTCTTCCAATAAGAACTCTGGATGTTGTTGGGTTTTTTTTAATGCCAGATAATAATTACTGATTTAAGTCACGATGATCAATCTGTTATAGCAGAATACCAGAGTTTTATGGAAAGGACATGAAATCTCTCAGAGACCCTCCAGCTTTCAAAAAATTGCAGAGAAATGTGTTTTTTCCAAACGGCTATGTGCTTACCTTTAGGGCTTTGGTTGACAAGCTGTCACCTGACATTTTCTTGGGTACTCCTGACAGTCCCCCAGAAACAGCCTGTAATTGAAGAGATAGAGGGGGGGGGGGATAGAAAGATCTGTGATTGCTATTTATTTTTAAAGATTGTTGTTATTTAAAGCTTGTCCAGAAATTGTGTCTTTCACAGAATTTCTCTTCTTTTTCATCTGTCTTCCAGTCTCATTTTCTTACTATCCATCCTGCCCAGCTGGCTTTTTAAAATAAAAATAAAAATCCTGGAGTCACAATTCCTTACTTCAGCAGGAGCAATAGAGATCCCAAAGTCTAAATGATTCTGTGTTTTTTGTTTTGTTTTAATAAATGTATTTTTTAATGCTGTTAATTTCCTCCAAAGCAGAGTTTTTCAAACGTGGCAACTTTAAGGCATGTGGATGTCACCTCCCAGAATTCTAAGCCCGAAATGAATTTTTTTTTGCACAGAACATCTACCTAGCCACCCAAGCAAAATATGAGGTATCTCCAGTACATTCTCCTCCTCCACTGTATAGTGACTCTATAATGGACATGCTCTGCAGTTGCCGGAAACACAGAAGGGCAAACATTTCCTGAGGAGAAGGAAACTGAACAGTGGAGAGCCAGCTGACGGGTGTGTCTCTGAAATGGCAGGGCCTGAAAGGAGACACGAGGGAGGGAATAAGAGCAATATATTTTGGTCTTTGGCAGAACAAGAACTTCAGTCCACTGGGGGAGGGGGGGGGCTGAGAGTGACTAATAAGCCAAACCCTTACATCCCAAAGGGCAGATGTACTGTATGTCAACCGTCACTACTAAGAATTATGCATTAGAACAGTGTTTGGAAAACATCATTGGAGAGCTGTGTCTGCAGTCAGATACATCTATACAATCTGTGGATCTGCTAAAATTTTAACCTATGTTAAAATAGTGAAGTTTGCAGATGATACAACAGTGGTTGGTCTCATTTGAGATAACAATGAATCTGCATACAGACGGGTGGTTGAACAACTAGCCTTGTGGTGCAACCAGAACAATCTTGAACTAAATACACTCAAAACCGTAGAAATGGTGGTAGATTTTAAGAAAAAACCCTCCTATACTACCTCCTCTTACAATACTAGACAACACAGTATCAACAGTAGAGACATTCAAGTTCTATTGTATCTCAAGACTTAAAATGGACACCTAACATCAAAAATGTCATTAAAAAAGTACAACAAAGAATGTTCTTTCTGTGCCAACTCAGAAAGCTTAAACTGCCCAAAGAGCTGCTGATTCTGTTCTACAGAAGAATTATTGAATCTGTCATCTGCTGCTTATAACTGTCTGGTTTGGCTCCACAACCCAACAAGACAGACACAGACTTCAACGGATAATTAGAACTGCAGAAAAAACAATTGCTACCAACCTGCCTTCCATTGAGTACCTGAACATTGCACGAGTCAAAAAGAGAGCTGTGAAAATAATTAGACCTGGATATAAATTGTTTCAACTTCTACCCTCCAAACGACACTATAGGGCACTGCACACCAGAACAATTAGACACAAGGACAGTTTTTTTCCAAAATGCCATTACTCTGCTAAACAACTAATCCCCACAACATTGTCAAATTATGTACTAAGACTGTATATCTATTCTTCTTCTCTTCCTTCCTAGTACCTATCTCTTTCCACTTATGACTATAACC